TACAACAGAAAAGTACCTAATCCTGAAACTTTTACAGCAGTAGTGTAATGAGTACGTGATACATGTAGTAGGTACTTTACATGTAGTAGGTACATGGATGAGACTATGGTCCTGGACCAGCCCATCTAGGGGCATAAATTTTAAACATTGCGGAAAACAATCCTCTCGTATAAGCGAGAACAGGTTGCATAGCAGTTCTCCAATATACAGGCTGTCTACTATAAGAGGGCCACTCCTATGTATCTCGCTTAATATACGACGTACGTCAAAAATCTTTATATGTCTTTTGTTGCATTTTTTGAGGCCTTGATGCTCGTAAAAACAAATTTGAGATCCATGGCCAATTTTATGAGTAATCATAAAAAAAGCGTAAAAGTACAGAAAGTTTGGGGCCGTCTAACATTTGTATTTTAAGAGCTAGAGAAAACTTATTTCAATAAAATTTCATGGCAAAATTGATATCTTTCACCTGGTGTAAACAAACTTTTGAAGTATGGTATGTAATTTCGCCCTCTACGTAAACAAAAAATAATTGTCATCGAAGCAGGCTGTGGATATAAAAAATTGCTTGCATTTTCCTCTTTCATGCAATGAACTACATGTTGCCTTTATCTTTTATATTTATTACATTTTTGATAATTTTGGTATCAAAAATGTAGATTAATATAGAAATTGTTTTAAACATGCCAACTACAAAAAATTTAATGAATCTAATGTACTTATGTTAAACAAATAATCTGCCATATCCAGCACCCATCAGTTTACCATCATCATCAAGAATTCTAACCCAAACGTTTACTGAGAACCTCTGTTAAAATGCAGTTTCTCCATGCTAATGTAATTACAATTAGTCCATTAACAAATCCATTGTTACAAAAATTATCTTCACTCTTTCTTTCTTGTCACTACCTACATCTTTCAAGAGATGCACTTTTGTCACCTTATAACATTGAAACCATTTTTTGTATGCTTATCCTTCTCTACATTGTAGTTTACTTCAATCCCTCATTGTTTTGCTCATTTTTGCTATTTACATAATTTAAAATTCTGTTAACACTACCTATTTTATTAACAACGCCTAATTTTATTGCCCTGTTCTTCTTAAAGTAAAGTGTTTTTCAAGATAATTCAAAAGGAGTAAAAGCTAAAAAAAGGTTGTTATAAAAGTTGTAGAACATAAAATTTTACATAATGATTTGATGACTTTTTCTACTATAAAAAATATGAGTTAGGGAAGCTAGAATTTAAGTGATGATCAGAAATTTAAAAAAATTATAAGCAGAAAAATTAATGAATTTCAAGGTTTTTTTTAATTTACTCTAAAAAATATAAAATATCATCAGAATAATGGAATTTTTTAAAAATTTTTAATAAAAATAAAATAAAATTTTAATATTTTGTCAATTTTAATAATGTAACAACATTAAACTATTTTTTTTCTTTACCATTGGATCACTATTTAAATAATGATACATTCGAAATTTTTTTTTACCTTTAATTTTCAGGTGGGCACAAAATCTTTTGAATTTTATTTAGCTCCTACGACATTGCCACAACAAAGATAAAAAATTACGTGCACTGTTGTCGCATTCATGGTAATAATAAGACGGAGGAACATTACAATAGTGTTAAAACTGGAACAACACATACATGTATTTACAAGACAGTGGACAAAATTTTTATCATCTGCTGTGAACAGAGCAGGTATAGACCGATCAAAATAACTCATTTAGAGGAAAAAAAAAAGAAAATTGTTACTTGGACTTTTATAAGTGGAAATGGTAATGGGGCTTATAATAAACGAAAAAATAAATAAATGCGTGAGCAGGGGCGGCGGAGGGTTGATTTGGGGGGTGGAAAAGTTATGAAAAATTATATCATTGGGATTTCTGGCAAAAGTTGACGTCAGACAAAAAAGTATCCAATACAAAAGTTGTTGATCATGCAAAAATCTACAACTTTTGTAGAGGTCATTTTTAACATAACCTCAAAATTTCCGAGAAAAATGCGACTTATTTCTCATTTCCACAAAAAAAAAAATTAATTTTGACGAAACTTGGTGAAAGTATACCTTTCTCTGTCTTAAATAACCTCAAATTTTTTTAGATAAAAAAATCAAGATGATCTACAACTTTTGTATTGGATACCTTTTTGTTTGACGTCAACTTTCGCCGGAAATCCCAATGATACAATTTTTCATAACTTTTCAACCCCCCAAATCAACGCTCCGCCGCTCCTGCTCATGCATTAATTTTTTTTAGGTTTATTATAAGCCCTTTTACCATTTCCACTTGTAAAAGTCTAGGTAACATTTTCTTTTTTCTCCAAGTGTAATTTGGTTGGACTAGTATGCAAATTACCTTCTATAATATTAAAGCGCAAGGTAATATGGCAGCCTCTTGTCTCGTCAATTTTGAGATATGGAATGTCAAACTACTAAATTAAAGGAATTTTCTTATTAGTTAATCAACTCACATTTACAACATATTTTTTTGAGAAAATCACGTTTTTGAAAATATTAGAAGGTAAAAAAAGTCTACGATCAGAACGCACAGCTTCGATGTTTTCATTTGTTTCACTTGTATGGGGACACTCCGGCCTTTCGTCGTTGTGGAGGCTATCTTGGCCATAACAAAACCTCCCGAACCACAAGAACAAAGTCAGACGTGATACACACACCTCACCATAAGTCATTTATAACAGTTGACACAGTTCCGTCTGTTTGTAGTAAGCTGTTCAATGTGCATTTTCATGATAACTATCAAAAACTCGACAACGTAAAACATTATAACTTCCTGGCAGATACACATACAGTCTGGACCATTTTGATGATACATGGATTGGTATCTTGGGAACTATATATAAGAGATTGGAAAATGGTTAAATGTAGAAAGTTTTAAACAGTTCTGTTGCTAAGTTAATGACGCTTGCAGACCGGTCCTAGCTTTGCAGGATTTTGAGTTATTTTGAAAAATAGTAAATGTGCATTTTCGAAAATCATCTAACTTTTTTATTTTTAAAATCCGAGGACTCTTATGAGAAATTTTGTGGTATATTCAGATCTTCATTGTGACGTTTTGGTTGTGAGAAACCATCATCAACTTTCTTTTTTCCTATGGGGGCCATATTGAATTTTAGCTGAGCAAATAGAGCATTTTTTGATAAAAATCAATATTTTAATAAATCTGGCAACACCGCATAATTTTTCGAAACTATAGTAGGTATTATAGAAGTTTCAAATTTTTGTAAGTTTATTGTTAATGTCATGGCCTTGAGAAAAAAATTATAATGGCCACGTGTTTACGAAGAAAAGTCCCATTTTGAATTAATCTTAACCCTTTCGCTGCGCAATACGTCTGAACGTAGCTACCGCGCCGTGCGCGAAAGTTTATCGCGTGCGAATATATACGTCTGGAGCACTTATAGTTTTACATTATGTTGTGTTAAATTACGATTTACGATAAATTTTACGATTTTATTTTGAATAAAATACAGTATATGTACTAAATATAAACTGAAAGAAACATGAACAATCTTGGTATTATTACCAGTACCTCTTTCCATAAAAATATTTGTCACAATCGGTATAAGCTCGCCCGCAAAAAATTCGCCTTACCAATTGCAATAACCGAGTTACTAATGCGCATGGTTGCAAATATATACGGTTTGAGCAGCCTGATCTAATTTATCTATTCATGCGAATTAATCCGTCTGGAGCAGTTTGAGCCCTATAAATTTTTAGCGAATATATACGTCTGGAGCAGTCAAAGGGTTAATCATAGAGTTAATTGTTAACAGTGAAATTTTTTTGAAATCGGCAAAATTTACGTTATTCCAATGAACAAACATTATTACCCGTTATTTTTTTTTTCTAGTTTTTAGCATGTAGCTTTTCGAAACTTTCAAACATTCTCAAATTTGTTTTAAGGGACCCCGCTATAACCTTATGGAAAATGGCTTTCAGCGAAATCATCTCAATTTTTGATATGAGATAGGTCTCATCAATCTGACCAAAATTCCCAATTGCCACGATTCCCGGTAATGCCTCTTTTTACCGCCAGAAGGTGCTTAACCACGTTAGATCGATCCATAATATGAAATGAATTCCAGATAGAAAAACAGTCTGAATTATTAATATGCCAGCGTCTTCAATTACTGATTATTTATAATGAATACTCTTTCAGTGTATTATGATAATAATAATAAAAATAATAACTATTAAGAATAATAATAATAAATATCCTATTTTTGTTTTGGTACATTTTTCTTAAACAAAATCTCATTTTATGTTTTTACATACTTCTCACGTCATGTCACCACTAGGTAGCGCATGGCTAACCACATAAGATTTGTAACTCAAAAAATATAAAGATGAGAGATCCAATGCTGCTGGGATTATTATTTAACTCGAATAACAAAAATATGTTAGAAAAATCTCGATTCTCATTTATAAAAAAATTCGGTAATCTCTGATTAAAATGAAATGTCACAATGAAAATCTAAATATATAGTGATATTCCTCAAAAAAACTTCCTGTGAGTGTTTTCAGATTTTAAAAATTCCTCTTAAATAAAAAAGTTAAGACGATCTTCAAACATGCCACATTTACTTTTTTCAAAATAACTCAAAAACCTGAAGAGCTAGGATCGGTCTGCAAGCACCATAAGTTGGCAATAGAACTTTCTCCATTTAATCATTTTCCTATCTCTTATAGTTTCCATGATACCATACATGCATCACTGAAATGGTCTACACTGTATACTGGTGAAATTTTGATGGGTAGCTCGGAAGGCTTTTCATTACGTACTTTTGTTGACCGCACATAGATATAGCGCCATGTATTTCGCTATAAAATCAGTCTTAAAACTTAATAGCTAAACTTTGTTTAAACCTGGTGTATATCCATGATTTTTTTTATATAATATATAAGTTCTAAATCACCTTGTACGTTGTACTAGTATCGTCACTATTTACGTACTTACCTAAAATTACACTTTCAGAGAACAGTTATCCTGGAGTAATGGAAGCAGGAATGACCTTCACAATTGAACCTATTTTAACGCAAGGAGAGGAGTTGATAGAAATCCTTCACGATAATTGGACGGCTGTAACCTATGATTGTGCCAGAACGGCACAATTCGAGCATACAGTGTTAATTACTGATTCAGGTGCAGATATACTTACTTTGCCAAACTAGTTTTAGGATGTAAAGAAAAATAAAAGATGCATTTTCTATAAGAATCATGTTTTTTTATGAACGATCTGCACAGTGTACATGATTTAAAATTTTTATGTGTACATATTGCTCCCACTTTTAACTCTACATTATTTTTACACAATTAAAAGTGGTCTTGATGTGAAAATAACCAAACGTTTTTAAAAGTTACATTTAATAACATAAATTTTTGTATAAAATGGAATGTTTTATACTTGTAAAAAACTATCGAATCTTTGGTTATTTTCTCATATTCGTTAACTATTTACATGGATGGCGTAAAAATGCTGACATATCTTTACAAAGCATTCATAACTGTGATCGGTATATATATAAAAATAGACTTTGTACTTTCCCTATCAGCTAATTTACGACTGTACGAGGTCCCAGGAACAGAAACGGTCAAACGCAGTTGTTGGAAGCACAATACATCGATGGAAAAATTCCACAGGACAGATGATTTAAACCCTCAAAACGTACTTTTGCCCCATTACCAAATGGATGCAACACTAATTTATCACAAGCAAAAAGCTGCCAAACAAATAGGTCACAAAAGTAACCCTTCTATTACACCCTTTCAGCCAGTTAAACTAAATTAATGAACTATTCTCATAGAACTGTTTATATAAAAAAGCCCGAATTTGATAAATAAATACTGTAAATGCTTTTAGTTGACAGCTTTGAGAATGAAATATTGGCTGAAAATATTATTGAAAGTTAAGAAAAAAACCAACCATTTAAGCCAAAAATTTTTTCAAGTATATTAAATACAATTCACAAAATTTCTCCCTTATTAAATTTGAAATTTATGTTTAATCGTGAAATATAATCTATTTGAAGAGAGGCGACAGTTTCCGCTAGTCACAGTATATAATCCGAAACGTCAATAATGGGGGGAAAAAGAAATACCAATGGCAAACTATGACTGGTGCACCTTAATAAACTGTCAGTTTATAATAGAAATGTTAATTCAAAAAATTTATCCAGGGAGAAAAGTCTCTCCAATGAATTGCTACTTTAATGTATTACAAATTATAACTTATGTTTTATAATATCAGCCATACGATAAATAAATAAGGGCAATTTGAAAATGTACTTGGTTAATCAGGTTTCCGTGAATTCTGATACACTTTTACATTTATCAAATCAATGCAAAATAAATTGTATCCGATTGCGAGCGTATTTCAAAAACTCCATGCGACTTCAATTTAATTGGACTGTTGTTTTAACAAAAGGATAAAAAAAACATTTTCGATTTTTGGGTGGCCGGTAAGGAATCTTGGTACTAATAAATTACCATAAATAGTGCTGAAAAGTATATGTCAACATCAATATATGTATTTATATATATATTAAATTAAAGTTACTGATAGTTCGTTAGAGGAAACGGATCAACCAGGAAGAATAATTTAAGTGAGAACCGAGCTAGTTAAAGCGATACAAAAAACATAACCTAGTTTTTGTACTATAAAATAATATAAAAAAGAAAACGAGAACATATGGAGAAAAAAAACAAACAAAGTAACAGAGTAAAAATAATTCTTCGTTCCAGTTTAAAAATAGTTTATTGCACTGCCTGGGATTTTTAAACTGAAACACAGAACAACATAAACTTTTGATATTGTAAAGTAACTTACAAGTAATTAAAATATCTGTACAAAACAAGTACACAGAGTTTGGTTCTTAAATTAAATAAAAAAAAGTATCACTTCGAGGGTTTTTTACAATTAAGAAATAAGTTAATAAATTATTTTTTGGAACATAAAAACAGTATTGTGCGCGACACAACATATAAAAAACTTTTTGTTTCTAATTAAAAATGTCATTGGCCTTCGATTATACCAAATAATATTTAAATAAACAACACAAGAGATCCGATTAACAAAAAAATTCAAGACTGAACCCCCGACATAACACCAAATTACCTTTTAAAGGAACTGCAATGTCTTCAACAACTTTGTTACGTAACAATGCATGCACTAATGCTCGAGTTCAACGCATCCCCACTCATGTGGAACCTTCGCTCAGCCTTTCGACACGATACCTATTGTAAGGGACATAGGGAGTCCGTGAGAGGTCATTGTCCGTTAGCACCCGCGTCCTATTCGGAACAACACCTTCACACCGACCCATTAACCAATCTGTACACTGCTTAACTTGCACGTCACTCACATTTTCACTGGCCCACTGTTTCAACCATGCCCGAAAGAGATTTCCTTTCCGTTTCGTTACCTGGGGATGGGACTGAAAACCAATAGTTACATTAGTCTCTTCAAAAATAATAGAAAATAACCTAACCTATTTATTACAGTACAGATTGGTTTCATACATGTACATTAAATATGGATTTTTGTTCTATTGTACTTGAAAATGACTATAGAATCCATAAAAATATTGTTTTGAAATTATAAATAAAAAATACTAACACTGGTACGACTGCTTTTTTCTTAGTGTACAGAGATAAGAGGGACTACAATGCTATGTGAATGCCCCTATAGACAGACATAATTTTTATTTTGTATGTGGTAGATCAATTTCTAAAAACAGGAGAAAATATGCAAATATTATCAAAATATGAAAATAAACTACCTTCATACCTGTTTATAATTATTAAAACTTATTAAAAACGGAATCAAAATAGTTATCAAATCCAAAAAAAAAACAACCATTTACAAACTGTTTGCACAACTAAAATTATCAGTGTAATTTAAAATTTGTACCATTTACTTTTTAATTTAAAATAATATATACATTAGAGCCAATAAAAATCAACTATTTTTTTTTGAAAGATGTATCGAGAATATAATTCAGAATGACAAAAAAAAATATCGTGAGAGTTTGAGCCCTTAATCCTAGCTCTACAAAAAAGGTCTGATTAAAAATTTTCGGCAGACGAGCAGTTTCCATGTAATCAAGCCTTGAAAATTGATGTTTTTTCAATTTGACTTTTTAGCTTTGGAATTTTGTAAATAACAAACAAATTAATATCTGAAAAAGAACAATTTTCAATTTTCAAAGGAAATTTAATGCTCTACAAAACAGGTCTCTTAATATTTTTGCATAAATATTCAGGTTAATCACGATTGAAGTTGAAGTAAAAATAAAATGATTTTTTCGGTTTAGACCCAATTTTTTTACACAAGGAACAAATTGATATTCATCGACAATTTCTATCAATATAATCACCAAAAATGTCAAAAATTCATAATATATTCAAATTCATTCTCGCTCAATAGCTATTTTTTCTACAAGAACGTAGTTTTTCTGTTTCAAAATAATTTTAAAAATAACAATCATGTAGTTTTAATGCAGAAAATTATTCATTTATACCTTATATTATATTCATTAATACATACGAATTCGCGTCTATCAACTTTCCTCGCTTACCCCTCTATTTGTTTCGCTTTCCTCAACTTATTAAGCCCTATGACGAGTGAAAATACTCCCCCTTCTCCTTAATAACCGCAACGTCTATTACGAACGCCGACTGTGTGAAAATGACCTTAAATATTTTTATATATTTTTCGTATACAATATTATATTGTTGTTCTGTTTAGGGTATACAGGACGCTGAAATGGGAATGATTCTCGTAAACAATTGACCATAACATTTGAAATACCCTGTATAACATAATTAAACCCTATATTGGAAGCATGGGAGAGATGAGCTTAATCTAAATTTGAAATAATATATAGAGTGTCCCATTTAAAAAATAGTATGTTGGGTAATATGAAACACTGAATAAACGAAAATAATTTTAAAATGTACAGTTCTAAGTCGGCTACAATTTTTGTAAATAACTTTTATTTATATCTTCTATAATAAAGGAGATATCGTACTTCGACGCACTAATGCTTAACCCTGTAAGTACTATTATTTATTGTTGTTTATTGTTGTTTTGGTATTAGTAATGTAATGTAAGTAATGGTGTTGTGTATTGTTGTATTATGTGATGGTGTGTAAATTTTGTGTGTTTATAATTATTAAATATCCGTTTGGGCGCCTTTTATAATGTAAAATGTCATTTGGGTGTGTTTATATCTAATTTTCCATTGAGCATAGGTTCTGATAAGAAAATTTTATAATAACACTGACAAATATAGACGAATTAGACTTTCTTACCTTATCATTGCTAACATCGCCTCCGGCNTAGACGCATTGCAATTATGTGGCTTGGCTATTGCCGATGTCGTCGCAAAAAAAAAAAACAAAAAATATGAAAAATATCCAAAAAATATGAAAAGGCTACAGTTTTGTCCCACTGGACAGGTCTGGATTCAAGCAGTGATATAACGAATGCTATATCTACTTCTAGCGAACAAACATTCAACATAGTTGCGTACAAATATTTAAAGCCGATACACGGCAGCCGGGCTGGCAGTGGTGGCGACCGGCTACAACCCGGCGGCTGTTCGTCGGATAGCTCCTTCCGTCACGTGTGAAAGCAGCCATAAGGCTCTGTACACCTTGCTGCCGGGTAACCGGATCTGGCATGTGTGCAACGGGTGTGACGATATATTTTTTTCGTCATTCTGAATGATATTCTCGATATTTCAAAAAAAAAAAGACATTTTTTTGGCCTAGTTTAATACACATTGTGTTGCGAAAATAAGTGTAAACAAATTTAAGGGGTAATTCTGAAAATGGTACTACTTCCTTGGACACTTTAAAAAAATCAACACTAAAATGCACGTGTTTTCTTTTTCATGACCTGCGGTTATTTTTAATTACCATTTCGTCATAACATTTTAAAATTTGGCCATACACTTATTGTTGACAACAAACAGAATCTATAAAACAAAATTATCAAAATTGTAAACCTTTAATAGGTTGTTTTGAATTGTCTATTTTGTAAATATGCAAGGTGTTCCTTAATGGTATGTGAGTATTTAAGGGTGTTATTCTACATGAAAAATTATAAACTATGTTTTATAAACTGTGGCCCAAAAATGTTCCGTTGCAAATATACGGAGTGTTAAAATTTTAGGAAAGACGAAAATTAATTATAATTTTTGAAACCAGTTGAGATATTTCAGTGATATTTAGTACAAAGTGATAGTTATAGTTTTTCCGAAGTCAATTGAGGAACCTATAATTTCAAGGTATGTACCAGGCTCAGTTGCTAAGCAGCAACTCGGCATTGAAATATTTGAAAAACTTGTTCTAATATTTATTTAGCCATACCAATATATAGGTCTGGTCGAACTAAACGTGCAGGTGGTAGAAATGTATACGACCAATTAATTGAAGAATGTGAGCGCGGCCAAAGGAAAACGAGCACAGTTGTATTGGGCTTCTGGGCAATAAATCACAGCAGGCGACAAGTGGTTCATAAATTGCCCAGCAGTGCAGTACAGTAGTGTGGAATTTGGTGTGAATCAGGCAATTTTAATTTATTATAGGCACCTTCTATCAATCATTCATATTACAATTGCAAAAGGGAGAAATAAAAGGGATATTTTGTTTACTAATATTATCACATGGCATTTTGGAGACCTTTTGAAACGGAACAAAACGAAATTTACCACCAATATAATAAAATTGTTTGAGGACATAAATAATTAAAATATGTTGTTGGCCAAATG